CCCCTCTCTCCCTGTCCCCCTCTCCCTCTTCTTGTTGCAGGCAGATGATGGGCCGGTTTGGTGAGTACCGGGGTGCCCTGGGGCTCATGGGTCACAGGGGAGTGGAGCCAGGGCCGTGGGGCCCAGGGCAGGAGGGGCAGGGTGGAGGAGGGAGGGGACGGCCTGTGTGACCGYGGGTGACTGGGTGTCTCTGGGAGGGAGGAGGGGCCTTGGTGGGGGGGCTCCTCACAGTCTCTGGTCTAACAGCCCTCCCTGGGGTCAGGCCACCGAGCTCTGTTCCAGCTGGTGACCTTTCGCTGCCCCTTCATCCGTGTCCCCTCCCCAGCAATGGGAGGACCGAGTGACAGGAGTGAGGCCCTGCTCCCCTGCAGCTGGTTTTCCTGCAAGTTTTCGGGGGTGTCCCAAAGAGGGTCCTGACCACTTGCCCACCCCCCACTGAAGCCTGGGACCCCATCACCAACGAGGGGTGGCAGCACAGGGACCAGCCCAGTGTGCTGGTGTTTGTACCCCGAAGGTGGGCCGCCCGGCTGGCCTCCTGGACAGAGCCACCTGTGGGGGACTTTTCAAACCAGGAGCACTGCCCCCAGGGCCTGCTCTCCAGCGGGTGGGGAGGGGCGGCACTGTCAGGAGGACAAGGCCCCGCCCGGCTGGCCCTGGTGCGGTCACTGGGGTCCTGGGTAGGATGCCCCTGAAGCCCAGCCCTGAGGCTGTTCTGGGGACGAGCCAGCGCCACGTCCTGTGACTTCCCCAAGGCCTGGGATTCCAGAGGAGGCAGCACACTGTCCCCTGGGCTCCCTCAGGAGACCTCAGGCTGTGCCGGGACTCACCGCCCCCCGGGTCCTTCTTATTAAGAGACAAGTAAAGGAGGAGGGGGGAAGGCTGGTCACGTCACTGAGGGAGAGGCTGCAGGAGGGCAGCCCAGGGCTGGTGTGGGGCGCCCCAGAGTACCCGCCGGGCACCCTGCCCCTTCCTGCTCAGAGCAGCTCAGACCCTGGGTGACACCAGCAGAGGGGCCCAGGCCCTGGTGTCCTCTGCGGCCCGTAGACTCGGCTGTGGGAGGTCACGGAGCATCAGCTTGGTGGGGGCCCGGGAGTGGGAGGGCCCGGGGCCCGGCCTGGCCTCTGAGGGGAGGCCGAGGCCACCAGAGGCCCGAGGGCTGTGCCCGCTCAGCTCTGAGCGCCACACAGGGCTGACGCAGACAGCAAGCTCCTGGTCCCCAGGGCCTCAGGGGGGGCGGGCCGGGGAGCAGGGGTGGCCGAGGTGCACCTCCCGCGGCCCCCTTCCGCCCCGCTGCCCGGGTCTGACCACACRCACTGCGTCCTCCGGCCCCTTGCAGCTGCTGGGTTCTTTGCACCATCCATTTTTGGGGGTCCTTAGCCTCCCTAGTACATCCCTGCCTGCCCGAGGCCCTCTCAGTGGCCCGAGGGTCTCTCTGAGCACCCTTTGCACACCTCCCCTCCGGCCTCTGGGCCCTGCTCCCGTGTGGAGGCTCCACCTGAGGCCCCAGGCCTCCTGCCCCCTCAGGATGGCTCCATGCTGGTCCCGTGGGCTCCTGGCTCCGAGGTCACTCACCCCAGTGACTGCAGATGCTCCCACCCGCCTCACCTGTTGGCCGGGGGCTCTGCACAGGGAGTGTGTAGCTCTTGCCCGTGTCAATGTCTACACCCGCCGGCCTCCTTGTGCCTGGCAGACCGGGTGGACCTGTGGGCTCCTGCCCCTCCTCCCTGCTCAGGGCTCCTTGAACTGCAAGCGTCCTGCGGGCTGGACGGCCCAGGGCGGCACCCCAGCCCCCACCTAGTGCCCGTGTGCCCGCAGCAGCTCCTAGACATCTGGGAGCTCCCAGGGCACCAGGTGGCCCCTGGTGACACTGCTGCTGGGCTTGGCCAGGAGCCCGCTCCTGCCTCTCTGTCCCCAGGGTCCTGCAGAGGTGGGGGCAGGCTTTTCTCTGGGTGGAAGCGCTCTCCAGGGAGCCGAGGTTGTAGTCTGGTCTCCATGGCGACGCCCGGCTGTGCCTCTTCTCGCTGGCAGCCGCCCCCGCCCCAGCACCGGGCCCTTCCCAGGCTGCGTGAGGACAGGGACACCGTGTGCTCCCTTCACCTCGCCTCCTCCTTACAGCCTGACCTCGCCCCCCCTGGCCTCCCCGTTCCGGCCAGCAGAGCTGGTTCTGAAACTGTAGCCTGACGCCACGGCACTGCCCAGCGCCCGCTGCCCCCACGGCCCCGGCTGCCCCCACGGCCCCGGCTGCCCCTGCGGCCCCGGCTGCCCCCGCCAGCTTGCTCACGCCCCCCCCCCCCCGGCCTGACTCTGGGCTTCCTCGCCCTCTGTTCCACGTGCTGTCCCTCCACCTGGAGCGCCGTCCTCCCTCCTCCTCTTGTCCAGAAAGCCCCCTCAAACTGCAGGACTCCTTGTCCTCAGGGAGCACCAAGGGACAGAGGCCAGCCCTGACCTCCTGGACTGGGCTTTCCTGCACTCCCGCCTCCTCTTCCTGGACTGGGCAGTGCGCTTGGGGAAGTGCAGGAAGTGCACCTGGGGAGGAGGCCGTTCACCTCGAAGCCTGTGGGCCTTGAAGCCGTGCCKCTGGGATCCGAGCCCGGACCCACCTTTATCCCCTCGGGCACACAGATGTGTGCTGGGTCCCCACTGTCCCCCTTCAGAGCCCTCCAGCCCCTGGTGCAGGTGAGCGGCAGCCAGCGTGGGCGTCCCCTCCTGCCCGGCGGCCTCCCGTGTGGCCTGACTCCGCCAGCCCAGCAGTGGCCTGGCTAAATATACCGGCTGACGTCAAGCGCTCTGCTCCCGGGGCCTCCGTAAGCAGCGTCTCAAGCTGGGTCTTGCCTGGTGACGTTGAGCCCTTTTTGTGCCCTTGACAGATTGTCTCACTGGGGACAACCTGACTTTGAAGGCGGTAAAGTCGCTCACATGTGCTGCGGTGGAGGCTGAGGCTGGGAGGCCGGCGGGAGGGCCGTCCAGGCTCTGGGCGGAGGAGGCTTCTGCCCCCGCCCAGGCGCATGTGCAGGCTCCTGGGCCCCAGGAGCTCTGGGCTGGGCAGGCCGGCTGCAGCGTCCACCACCTCCTGTCCCTGGCCCTTGGGTGTCCAGCTCCTTCCCTTTGGGCCTGGCGGGGGAGGAGGCAGCTGCTCCCTCCAGCAGTGGCCTGGCGGCTCCTCCCTCCTTCACTGTCCTGTGACAGGTTGGGGGTGACACAGATGCTGGCCTGGCCACCCCCGGGAGGGCAGGGAGGCCCCCATGCAGGGTTCAGGCCTCTGCTGTCCTCGTCGTGAGCACCACCTGCCCCAGAGACCCAAGGCAGAAGCCGGAGGCCCCAGGTCCCTTCCACACGCTCTCCTGCTGGTCCCTTCTGCCAGCGGCCGTCCCTGCAGCTCTGTGCTCCTGTCCACGTGCCCCCCTCAGGGGTCAGCCGTCAGGGGGCCACCCAGGTGGAGGTCGGAGAGCCAGGGGCCCTCCTGGGAGGAGGAGGGTGGACGGGCACTGCAGGGGGCGTGAGCCACACTTCCCGTCCCCGAAGCGGTCCCTGTGGAYGCAGACTCCCCGGGATGCGGTCGGGAGCCGCAGTGTCTCGGTTCCTTGGCTCTCTGCATGCTGGGGCCCACCCTTCCCCGAGCAGGAGCCAGCCAGTGCAGGCGACAGGCATCCAYGGTCCCAGGCCTGGGGAGTGGATGGTCCAGCACAGAAGTGCCTCTCAGTGAAAGGACAGCTGGTGGAGGCTGGGAGCCCCTCAGAGGTGCCTAGGGGTGCCAGGCAGTGAGGCAGCCATAGGGCAGGTGCAAAGGCCCCGGGGCAGGCTGTGCCTGTAGCTCGTTGCAGGAGCAGTCAGAGGCCGGTGGGTGGAATGAAGTCMGGGGCCTGAGTGTGGAGGGTGCCTGATCCACCCCTTGGCCCACTGGAGGGAGAAGGGCCTCTGTTCTAAGCATGGTGAGGAGCTGGGCTCAGTGGTTTGGGTGGGAGGATAAGGAAGGATTCAGTAGCGCTTTAAAAGGGAGGATGGGGAAAAGCCAGAGGCCCGCTGGGCAGGAGGCTGCAGGGCCCTAGGGTGCGGGCAGCCTGTGTGTGGGCACAGCTGCTTTGGGGAGGCAGAGGTGACTGGATCTGCAGAGACGCCGTTCACAGGTAGACACAGGACGTGGAGAGGGAGAGTTGGGGACGGCTTGAGTGACAGGAGTGGCCGGGCAGCTGTCCCAGTGCCATCCTGTGGCCCGTGGAGAGCTTCCCGCCCTGTTGAACAGCACCTTGGAGGCCTCCTGTGCGCGCGCGCCTGGTGCAGGGGCTCCCAGCTCGCCCAGCCTCCTCGAGGGTGCCCCCTTCAGTTCTGGCAGGAATTAGACTCTGGGTGGGCAGGAGCGTCAGGCAGAGCATCCCGGGGGGGACCGGCCATCAGGGCACGAGTGGCCTCCATCAGCCCCTCTCCCGTCCCCTCCTGGCCTGTCTTGCAGAGCGAGACGCCTTCGACACGCTATTCGATCACGCACCGGACAAGCTCAACTTGGTGAAGAAGGTGAGCCGGTCCCCCCACCTCCCTGACCCCTGTCTGGACGCCTGCTGGGCAGAGCTTGCCCTGAAACGTGGCCACGGGACTGGAGCAGAATCAGTCAAAACTGCGGCCACAGTGCGCAAAGCCAGCACCCCTCAGCTCCGCAGGGAGCGGGCAAAGCTCCCGCCCACCCGCCAGCCTCCGGGCAGTGCCTAGAAACTCTTCCCACCCGACCCCAGGGCTTTTCTCAGTGTGGAGTGCTGTCACGCCGTCAAGGCAGTCGAAGCCACATTCACAGCCATCAGCCTCTTTGTCCCCAGGCGGGAGCTGGGAGGCCGGGCCTCCCCACCCAGACATCCTGTTGGCCAGGCYGTGGATGGGAAAGTCCAGCGAGGCTGTGGGGATCTGCTGGGGTGCTGCGCCTTCAGAAGGGATTGGGGCCCCTGGCCGAGGGCCTGGGGATGCCCCACTGGGGAGGCAGCTGTGGGCGGTGAGCCAGGGAGGGAGCTCTCTGGTCAGGTCAGCTGCCCTGATGGATTTCTCAGTGCAGGACTTGTCAGAGCCTTTAATGTGCCACCTGGCATTGCAACTCTCCAAGGAGGAATGGGGTGGATGCGCTTCCCAAGTGGGTCTGGATGGTGAGATTTATGCATCTTCATTGGGGGCGGGACGTCTTACAGTCCAGTGGAACCCACTCTTGGGAAGTGCCAGTCCAGGCTCAGTGACATCTTTATGTCCTGGAAACGTGACCACAGGCTGTGGGAATCGCCCACGGTCCTCCCACACTGAGCCTTCCTAGCTTCCTCAGGACCTGGGAGCCCCCGCCCTGTCCCACCCCAGCCACATCTGGCCCAGGGACAGAGCAGATGGGTGGACAGTGAGGGAGGAAGGTTCTAGCACGGTCCTCGCCTCCAGGCTGTGTCCTAAGGCAGGTTATGTGGACCCAGCCTCAGTTCCCACCTGCCTGGTCGGGCCAGAGGCATTGTCCCCCCTCAGGGGCACTGTGACGGTAACCTGGGCCACCTCTGTGTGACGCAGGGTGGTCACTGTGTGGAACGTGTGTGGCCCATGGTCACCTTGCTCCTTTCAGTAGGTGGGGTCAGCCAGGGACAAGTGCGATCTGGTGGTCTCCCTCTGACTCCTGCTTCCAACTGCCCTTCTCGGGCCCACAGTGGGAGTGGCCTGGAGGGAACCCGGGACCCTGCCCCCTGCCGGGCTCCTCCCCAGGCCATCAGCCACAGCGGGCAGCACGTGCTCTGTGTCTGGCACGGGGCTTTCTCACTGAGCCCATGGTGGCAGTGGGTACTGGTGGACACCCCACAGGGCCAGTGCTGTCCCCGACGTCCCCTCTCGCTCTGCCTTGCAGTCGCTCATCACTTTTGTGAACAAACAGCTGAACAAGCTGAACCTGGAGGTGACAGAGCTAGAGACCCAGGTAGGCGGGGCTCGGCCCTGGGTGGGCGGGGCTCAGCCCCGGGTCTCTGTCCTGTGCGTCCAGCAGCTCTGAGCTCCGGTGGGGCGGGGACGAGCAGGCGGGAGCCCCTGGGTGCTCCTGGGCTGTGGACACAGGGCCGCGATCTGCGTCCATGGCCGTCTCTGGGCCTGAACTTGCCCTTTCATGAGGACGCAGTCATGTTGCACTGGCGCCCACCCTGGTGACTTCATGTCAACCTCATGACCTCTGCAGGGACCCTGTTTCCAAATAAGGTCACGTTCGCAGGCCCTGGGGACTAGAACTCCCACATGTCTGTTCTGGGAGAGGGTCCAACTCTCCACACCCTCCGAGGCTGCCCCACGTTGTCAYGCGCCTTTGCACGTGCATGTCCCTCGGGTCTAATGTCCTGCGGTGGAGGCCGCTGCTGTCACCTGTGGCCCTGTGACCTGCACCTGGCGAATGCTGACTAATTCCCCTCCAGTGAATGTGGATAAAATATTTCTTCTGCACTAGAATGCACACCTCCCGCCCCAAGATAAAGTGGCGCCGTGAAAATAGGTCCTCAGCCTTGGCAGACAGGACGCCGGCTCCCCGGATTAGTCTGGGGCCTTGGGAGCTGTTGGCACAGACGCCTCTAATGCCCAGCTGATCCTTCTTCAGCCCCTGGGCGATTTCCCTCACCTCTTTCTCCTCCTTAGACTTCTCTCATTTGCTTTTCTAATTAAAAAAGTAATTCAGGTTCATTGTAGGAATGCCTGAAAGCACAGATAAGCAAAACAAATGAGAACCATCCCCAGTCCCTGCGCCCAGGGCTCCGTGGCGCCCTCCCCTACCCGCGGGGGCTGAGCGGCAGCCCAGTCTGCACCGGGAAGTCCCCTGGTCCCTTTTCCAAAGCACATATTTGCTCATCATTTGAAAATGCATCCATTATTTCTGGCAATTTGCTACGGTCTGCGCGGCGGGACGTGCCTGTCGAGGTGCTGAGTTCACAGGCGCATTTTCTCAGGTGACSGGGGTCCCACATCAGCTGCTCTGTCCTGTTTTGGTCCCTAAATACATCAGCTGCGTCCTCCTTATAAGACAGAGGAGCGCGTCTCTGCCTGGCCTTTCCTCTTGTCCCGTCCACCTGGGGACCTACATTTTCTTGCTCTGAGTTGTCCCCCACTCAGCCAGCACCTGGTGACGCTGGTCTCCCTGGTCTTGCTCCTGGGACACGAATGCCTCTGTCCAGCCATTTGTACCCTCCTCCGTTTCCCAGATTGACTCAGAGAAAGGCAGGCGCCAGGGCCAAGTGGCGGTATGGGGGCTGCTGCCCCCGCGTCCTGACCGGCGTCCCCAGCCTGTCCCTTCTCAGATGGGCCAGCACCTAGCACCAGAARCCAGGGTGCCTCAGGCTTGGACTGCTCTTCAGTGCACATCCGTCCTTCCCACAGCGTCCACTCCTGTTTCCAAGGTCATGTCGCCTGTAAAGGRGGCGGCGTGTCACCCACCAAGCAGCCGGCAGCTGAGTCCAGGGCCCGGCCAGTGCCGTGACCCCAAAGGACTGTCCCCTGTAAATAGCAGCTTCACACTTTCGTTTCTTAGTGGCACGTCCCCTGCCATGGGCCAGGGCAGGCCACCACTGGGTGTCTGTGTGTGGGGAGCTGCGGCAGCCTCAGGCAGGCCTTGGCTCCTCAGAGGCCATTTTCAAAAGATGGCGGGTCCTGCTGCCCCTTGTCCCGCCCTCCCACRCCCAGCATCACCTGCTCTGGGGGTGGGTGCAGGCCGTTTAGGGCCCAGCGGGAAGGGGCTCTGGATGCGGGGTGCCACAAAGGCCGGCATCTCCAGGGGCCCCGGGGGGATTGTCCCAGCCGTGGGTGCAGCTGGTGCTTAGTGGTGGCCGGAGGGAGAGCCAGCGCACCAGGTGGCCCGTCTGCCCAGCACCCGCACCCTGCAGACGCAGATGGGGGGCTTGCTCTTGCTGGGGGCCCTGCCCATCCTTGCTGGCCCTCCCCTGAGACCCAGGGTCAGTAACGGACAGTTTCAGACTCATGGCCTCAGCCAGGCTGCTGCCCCTGACCCCAGACACTGGCCTCCAGGCACCTGGTCCTGACGTGTGTGTGCGTGTGTGTGTGTGCACGCGTGTGCRTGTGTGTCTGTGTATGTATGTGTCTCTGTGTGTGTGCGTGTCTGTGTGTGTGTCCGTGCGTGTGCATGTATGTCTGTGTCTGTGCGTGTCTGTGTGTGTGTCTGTGTGTGTCTGTGCGTGTCTGTGTGTGTGTCTGTGTGTGTCTGTGCGTGTCTGTGTGTGTGTCTGTGCTTGTGTGCATGTATGTCTGTGTGTGTGTCTGTGCTTGTGTGCATGTATGTCTGTGTGTGTGTCTGTGCGTGTCTGTGTGTGTGTCTGTGCGTGTGTGCATGAATGTCTGTGTCTGTGCGTGTGTCTGTGTGTCCCCCCCCCGCCCCCGCCGTCTCTTTCTCCCGTCTCTCCCCACTCTGGGGGCCAGGACCTGGGGTGGGAGCTTTGTCCCGTCCTTGCTTTGGTTGCAAACCTGCTGCCCGGGTGAGGTGAGGGCTGCATGATCCGGATCATTTCACTGTGACCGTTTCTCCTCCCTTGAGTTTGTTAAAGTGTTTGCTGGGAATGTCACCAAGACCCCCCTGCAGTTTGCAGATGGYGTTTACCTGGTCCTGCTCATGGGTCTTCTCGAGGACTACTTTGTCCCCCTCCACAACTTCTACCTGACCCCGGAGAGCTTCGACCAGAAGGTACGTGTGCGGTCCCCTCCCTGGTGGCCCAGGATGTACCTGCTGACGGGAAACCTAAGCACTCTCTGCAGCCTCGGGGCGTCTTGAGCAAATGGAAGCCGGGGTTGGGGTGGACGCAGCTCCYGGCAGAAGGACTGAGAAGCCATCGTAGCCTGCGAGACACCAGAGTCTGTCCTCCACCTCCCCTTTGGGGTCCTTTGYGTGGCCTTCTGTGGCTCTGGTACTTGTGATCCAGGGTCAGATCCTGCCACACGTCCCTCGGGTTTTCCTGCTCTTTGTGAGTGTCCCCAGTGCCCTCTGGGCAGCTCTGTGGCCAGCGTCTCCCTTCCCCATTCTTGGGCAGCAACATATTCCCAATGTTTTTCCTACTAAACGATCGGGCAGCTTCTTGAATAGATACCGACATCCCTCTGTCCTTAGGAGGTGGGTGCCAAGACCCACGAGGACACCAGTGTCCACCAYGCTTTTGTCCTTTATGTAAATGGCGGAGGATTTGCACAGAACCCACCCACAGCCCGTGGTGTGCTCAGATCACCCCTCACACCGCCCCACTTGCTGCAAAGTGAGCACCAGGGAGAGAGTGGCCCTGCGGTGCCCAGGGGGATGTCACTCTGCCCAGAGGTCCCGGTCAGTACTTGGTTTAGCTGCAGGTGCGGAATCTGAGCATCTGTATTTATTCTGTGGCTGTTTGCTTAGGAAAACATTCTGGGGCTGCCCTGGGTGGGGTGCCCATGGCCCCCGCTGGCTTGTCCTTGTGGGCTCCCCCCAGCCCGTCACGGCAGCCTGAGTGCCTTGCCGTAAACACTTGGCCACACGGATGGGCTGGGGCGCCGTGGCTCACGGCGTCTGTCACTTTATTTTCTCAAAACTGCCAGACCCGTGAGTCGGGGAGGCAGACTGTGTGAGCTGGCGGTGGCAGCCCGAGAAGCGGCGGGAACCAGGGCCAGCGTGGACCATCCGCCTGCTCCGGTCCCGCGTGGGCAGCTGCCAAGCGTCCCCGGGTCCTGCCTGCRGAGGTGCAGTCAGAGCAGAGGAGCGGGCTCGGCACGGGGCGTCCTGGCCAACCCGGGGTGGGGGTGGACGGGCACGGGCCGCGGGCGAGCCTGGGAAGTCGAGGCCGCGAGGTGGTGAGMAGGCTGGCTCAGCCTTGTTCCTGAGAGGTCCCTTCTGTGTTGAGACTCGCCAGCTGGCCACACCCTGGTTCSGCGGGATCTGGAGCCGGGTCTCTGGCCAAGACGAGGCTTTGTACAGATGTCAGAGGCGCTGCCCTGGCCCCAGCCTTCCTCCCCTTGAATCCAGATGAAAGTCTGTGTCACTGCCCTGGCCCCCGAGGCTCCGAGCCTGGCTCACCTGTGAATCAGGGTGCGGAGGGGGGCTGGGGGGCTCTCTGGGGAGCTTCTGGTCCCCTGGAGGAGGGCCTGCGGCTCTGGATCCCCAGGGCTGGCTCCTCAGTGGGGGCTCTGGGGTTCTGGTCTTTCCTCACGTCCCTGCGTCCCCCGTCGTCCTCCTCCTGGGCGAAGGTCCCGAAGCGCTGCTGGCATGTCCCCCGACGATCTGTCTCCTGGTCTGACAGCTGCCTGTGGCCTGGCAGCTTTTCCCGTGGGGACCGAGCCACCAGAGGCAGGCTGGTTCTGCCACCTGTGTGCTAGGCCCTGCTCGGTGACAGTGGCGACATGGTCTCCAGTGTCCTGGGCACCGAGACCACAGGGCACCTTGGTTGTGGCTCTGGGGACCTCAGTAGCAGCCCCACCGTTTCTGAAGGAGGGGCCGAGAGGGTCAGAGAGCAGCGCAGGAGAGGCACCGAGCACTGCCCACCCCAGGACGGGGCGGCTCAGCCCAGCAGGGCCCTGTCCCATGGTGGGAGGCGCCCCGTGAGGCCGGGGGTGCCTGGGGACGGCCGCAGCCTTTGGCTCTGCACACTCCAAGCCCCTCGTGCCCTTCGGCCATCTGGGGGGAGATTCCAAGAACCTCCCGTCGTGCAGCGCGGCGTCTGGAGACGTGGGATTCCTTCCCSGGAGGTCCCAGGGAGGGCCTTGCAGTTTCAGAGTGTGTCCCCCTGTGCCCGGCTGCTGAGTCCACTCTACTAGAGGCGCAGGTCTCAGGGCGACCCCYGCCAAGGTCGCGGAGTGCCCAGGGGGAGCTGGAAGGGCCGGCTGCACTCGGAGGTTTTCTAAGACCCTCTGAARTGCGGGGAGAAAGGCCGCGCCTCCGCGGACGTGGCCACACGTGGCGGGTCCCATGGCAGCCGCAGTCACGGGGGCTCTCCAGGCCCCCCAGGAGCTGCCTGCTGGCCTGCGCGTCCACCCAGAGGATGGCCTGGCGAGGTGGCCCCTCCTTTCTGCATTGTCTCAGGCCGAGGAGGACGCAGAAGGGAATCCCCCCTCAGAACCAACCACCTCGAGCTGAGGGGCTGCGGGCAGGGTCCTGGGGTCTTCCCCGTGGACTGTGCCCTCCGTGGGGTGGGGTGGCCAGGTGGGTGTCCGCTGGGCTTTCCACTGTGACTCGAGGCTGCTGCTGGCGTGCGTGCGTACACGTGGGTGGGGACGTGCGTGGAGCCCGGGTGGTGGCTAGAGGCAGAGGCCCCCGGAGGACAGGCATGGGCGCTGGACCCCGACGCCGTGCTCGGTGCAGGCTCCATCTCTTCAAGCCTGGGCCTCTCTTGGCACGGACGTCCCGCCCCGCCTCAGCCCAGTGCCCGCTCCGTGAGAGGGAGAGTGCTGCCTTGCCCAGGGTCCTGTGCCGGGTGGCCACTCTCCCTGCCCAGCTGCCCGTCCTGGCTCCAGCCCCTTCTCCGCTCCCAGGGCTCACCCAATTCTTGGGCCCAGAGGCGCAGCCCCCATCCCCAGGTCCTGCTCCTGGTCCGGGGGCCTGTCCTGTTTCCATCGGCTGGTTCCAGTCTGCCTCCGGGATGGCCAGGGAGCCTCCCAGGACAGCGCCTCCGGTCATCCCGCTCAGCAAGCCTGTGCRCGTGGCCGGCATCTCACTGGCCACACCCCCGTGCCTGGCCGGGGCTGGCATGCAGCAGGTGCTTTGCTTCTCTGGACACCCCAAGTTGGGTGCCACTCCCTGAGGGTGATTTTGCCAAACACCCTTTCCCTGGTCAGCCCTTTATTCATTTTTGGCACYAGGGATTGAACCCAGCTTAACCACTGAGCCACGTCCCCAGCCCTTTTTGTTTTTTATTTTTTATTTTTGAGACAGGGTCTTCCTAAGCTCTTCAGGGCCTCATTAAGTTGCTGAGGCTGGCTCTGAACTCGTGATCCTCCTGCCTCAGCCTCCCAAGTTTCTGGGATAACAGGCGTGTGCCACGCGCCTGGCCCCAGTTAATTAGTAACTGATGCTGTCAGTAAAATCATTATCTGGGGCTGGGGCAGTGGCTCGGTGGTAGAGCACTTGCCTAGCATGTGAGGCTCTGGGTTCAATTCTCAGCACCACATTTAAAAAATGAAGATATTGTGTCCATCTACAGCTAAAAATAGATATTTTTAAAAATTATCACCTGTTTCTGCTGCACTTACACTGAAATCATGGGGAGTTCGTGGCTCAGGGCCCTGGGTCCTTCCCAGCTGAGGTCTGTGTGGAGCCTGTGGGTTTGGCGGCAGGTGGGTGCTGGGTGTGATGTGGCTGACCCTGGACGTTAAGCGCAGCCCAGCGGCCCCTGGTCTGCTGGTGACTCTCCAGCAGTCACTAGCAGAAGGAGCGCCTCCAGCCCCTCAGCGCGAGTGGCACTAGACCCTGTGGTCACAGGGAGGAGCCACACGGGGTAGGGCAGGTGCATCGGGCAGCGCTGGGCCAGGCGACTCTGCAGCCACCATCCAGCTGACTTCAGTTCCAACAGGGTCCACGGTGCCTGCTCAGGGCTGAGCCCCTGCCGCCTGCAGAGCACCGTGTCCTGCAGTTGACCAGGCCACCCTGTGCGTGCCCACTCCTCCCAGCCATTGCGGCAGTTAGCAGGGGCTGCTCTGTGCGGGGCAGTGCCCAGGACTGGCTGCTCTGCAAGGATCTTGTCCTCCCTGAGCCTCARTTTCCTCGTCTGTAAAATGGGATCCCTGCCGCTTCTCCTTGTGGGTCTGGGTCTGGGGCAGGGCAGGCACCGTGGGCACGAGTCCTCGAGAGCAGGCCCGTGCCTCCCTCCTCCCGTCCCTAGCCCCAGATCCCTGGTGTGAGGAGGAGTGTCCCCTTCTCTCTGCTCCCTCCCGGGCTCTGCCCCGGGCTCCCTGGGTCCTTGCAGCTGAGTCGAGGCTCCCTCTGCTCACCCTAGTTCCCATCACCTCATCAGCGGGTCCCGGGCAGGCCCAGTGCAGGTGGCCACGGGTCCTGAGCTGATTCTTCCTTGGCAGGTCCACAACGTGTCATTCGCCTTTGAGCTGATGCTGGACGGTGGACTGAGGAGGCCCAAGGCTCGCCCTGAAGGTAATGCCCGGCCCTTGGCAGGAGGCCCTTGGCAGGCTCTCACGTGGCAGGGACGGAAACCAGGACTTAGAAGTGGCTGGACACTGGACGTCCGTGTCTCTGGCTCATTTCCCCTGTCCGGAGTCCAGGCTGAGCTGGTGGGCAGGGTCAGCAGGGCCAGTTCTGTAAGAGCCTCTTGGTTTTGAAGGACGCGGCCTCTGCCTGCAGACCTCAGGGCCGAAGACCCCTGGCCGTGGCCGCTCGGCTGGAAAAGCAGTTTTGCGCCCTGAGAGGACATTAAAGGCTCCCAGATTTAATGAGGCCTCCCGACGGCGGGCAGAGGGCGAGGCTCCTGAGCGGGTCTGGGAGGGACGGCCCAGCCAGCCTGAGGGCTCGCCCAGCACCCCGCCTGGCTTGAGGTTGTCACCTGTCCCAGGCTTCTCTGACCTGAGCCAGCACCTGAGTGGGGGTGGGGCGCTTCTTAGGGTGCAGACTGAGGTCAGGGTGAGGGTGGACCCAGCAGTTTCCCTTGATATCAAGTTTCCTGGCCTCTGCTGCTCCTGTCTGGGGACCCCAGAACCTGGCACGGCCATGGCATTGGCCGCCCAGTGTCCTGGTCAGTGCAGGAGCTGCGAGGGGCCCTGGGGGATTCAGGCTGAGCAGCACCCCGGGGCCCTCTTGGGAAGTTGCAGGGTGGGGGTGCTGAGCATTTGAGGCACTGACGGGTCCTGCGTGAAAAAAACCGTGACCTCCACACACACACACACACACACACACACACACACACACACACACACACCCGGGCCCCGCAGTAGGACGCCGCAGGGCCAGGAGCTGTGGTCCTGCCTGCACACAGGAGGGCCCTTGGCTGGGGAGACCTCGCCTTAACTGGAGGGCCACAGGGGCCTGGGAGCACACAGGGACACCTGGCCCATCTGGGGAGAGGCTGGGTTCGTGGGGCCCCAGGAGGGACTCCCGTCCTGCTGTGGGAGCCACGTGGTCCTGTGGGTACCAGGGTCTGGTGGGGTACCCCAAGGTGGCTTTTGAAGCCCTTTGATGTCAGATCTGGGGCAGCTGAGGGGGTGTAAGTCCTGTGACCCCTGGGGGTGGGTGCTGTCAGGACAGGGAGCAGGGGGCTGGCTTACACCTGCACATGTCCCCATGTTGGCCGCCTGGTCTCTGTGGCCTCTGCCCTCCCCACCACACCTCCCTGGGTTTTTGGGGGCTGGGGTGAGCCATGGGGCCAGGGGCTCTGGGCCCCCCACAGAGTACTGGAGCTCCCTCAGGTAGGCAAGCCATTCCCGGCCACCAGTGACCCACCTGGACAAGCTGGGACCCCAGGTCCAGGGGAGGTGGTGGGTCCAGAGCCGACTGCGCCTGCCGCGTCTGGCTCTCAGGACTAGTTACCCACAGGGCTGCGCAGGGGGGCCTCGACCTAGGGGACTGAGCTCAGGGCCTTCGGCATCACTGGGTTAAGAGGAGAAGAGGCGGGAGCCCAGAGGCCACAGAGCAGGTGAGAAGAGCCAGGCGCCCAACTCCCAAGAAGGTCCCCTCCCCACGAAGACAGCAGCCCACTTAGAGTCCGTGGGTCCCTGCGGGTTATTGGAGTTGGCCTTCCATCCGGGAAGTGCCCTTGGCCACCTGCCCACCCGTCCTTGAACATGTCCCGATACAGATCCCAAGGGGTCTGTGTGCTTGTCCCCACAGAAGGTGGTGGCCCTGGTGGGGGCTCTCCACGCAGCCTGTGCGTCCGGGGATGGTCACGCCGGGGTCTCCTGCACGCGCCGGCCAGTAGCCTCATGCCGAGGCGCTCAGCTGTGCCCATGGTGGCCGAGAGCCCGTGGTGACCCCAGGCAGGGCACACTCTCTCCTCCGCCAACGGTGTCTCTGTGTCCTTCTGCAGATGTGGTGAACCTTGACCTCAAGTCCACTCTGCGGGTGCTGTACAACCTGTTCACCAAGTACAAGAACGTGGAGTGATGGGGACCCCAGACGGCGCGGGACGGTTCCGGGGCAAGAGAAGCGGGACCCGTGCCCCAGGCCCTGCTCAGGGAGACGCCCTGCTCCTCCCCGGCTGTGTGGCCCTCCCATCCCTGCCTGCTTTGGTGGCCTTTCACCTGCTTTCCTTGCAGCCCTGCAGTGGTCAAGACCTGGGAAAATGCAGCCTCTAGACACGGGGCTGGGCTCCGGGTCTCCCTCCCTCCCTCGGGGCAGGCTGAGGAGGTTGACTGTGTTGTCAAAAGATGACACGGAGAAGCTCGGGCCCAGCCTCCGCTGGCCGCGCTGCCGCTCCCACCGGTGGCCTGGTCTCTCCGTCCACCCTGGCTGTTCGGGGCTCGGGCATTTCCCCGGCGGGGCTGCCCTTGGACCAGGGGCCTTTTGACAAAAGGGTTTTGCAATTAAAAAACTCAACCCTCACGTCCCCGGAACCCTGGGTGTGACCCATGTCCTCCATCCCTCTGGTTCCCGTGACTTCTTGGCCACTCTGTGTTCTTACTGACCTTGAGCGTGAGCTCCCAGGACCCGTGCCCTGCCACGGGCAGAGGGAGGATTGGCTGAGGGCGTCCCTTGGCTTCCTGCAGCGGCCCAGGGCTGGTCAGGAGCTGGCTGGAGGCGGCTCAGTCCCGAGGTCCGTCTGGGGGTGGCCCGTCTGGGATGGCCCATCTGGGGAATAGCCCGTGGGGGAATAGCCCGTGGGGGATGGCCCGTGGGGGATGGCGGCCTGTCCCTTTGCTAGGCCCGCAGGGCGGGAGGCTCAGAGTACAGAGGACCCACGTCCCGCAGCTTGGAAGCCGGGGTCGAGGGGCCAGGTGCCCGCAGGACCCAGTTCCCTGGTGGCCCCGTCCTTGGCCGTCTCCCTGGTCTCCACAGGTCCCCCTCTGCCAGCGTCTCTGTTAAGCACACCTGTCACACGGGGCAGGGCCCACCCACGTGGCCTCATTTCCTTGTTACCTCTTTAAGGCCCGTGTCCAGATGTGGTCACACTGCGGCCCTGGGCTTTGGGGCTAAATTTAGGGGACACGACACAGCCCATGAGGGGGGCATGCAGTGTCCATCTCTGTCCTCCCGGTGCTCCCGTGGCATCTCCCTCTCTGTGTCACCTAGTTAAGCTCTTCACCCTGGTCACCTTTGGAGAGGAATGGCGTCCCCTCAGCTGTGTTCTCTGACCTGGCCCTGGCCACAGGGGGTCCTGCTCTGTGGCCTGCCCTGGCTGTTCCCCTGCTGTCTCCTCCTGGCCCCTGCCCGGCCAGCCCCTTCTCCAAGCTCTGTGTGCTCATTAGCGACAGGAGGACAGGCCTCTCCGTCTCCTAGGCCCCCACCCCCTGCCGACCAGGGCTGGGGGTCAGGGTTAATGTGGATTGAAGGTCGCGCTGAAGGTTGAGAATGTCCTGAGAGTCCTCCCTGGCTCCGCGTGGCTGGGCTGCCTGAATGTCCTCCCTGGCTCCACGTGGCTGGGCTGGGATGGGCTGAGAAGAGCATTTTGATGGACGTGGTCTCCCAGCAGGAGAAAGAAATAATTAAAACGGCATTACGGCATCTCCTGCGGGATGCAGTGACATTAAAGACCTCCTTGACAAAATATCCGGGGCCGGAACGTTCCGCGCTGCCTTCATGACTCGCCTTCCAGGGCCGGTGGCCTGGACCTGCCCAGCCTTGCTCTCAGGCGGGCCTGGCCAGGGCGTTGCTCATCCCCAGGGGTTTCGGGGGCCGAGGGGCGGAGATGAGGATCTGGAGAGCGCACCTGTGGCCTCTTAGCCAACTCCGGCAGCTTCAGCCTGATCCTCGGCATCCAGGGGGAGGACGTGGTCAGGGGGAGGGGCTTCCGCTTCTGAAGCAGCCCCTGGAGCCCTGCTGGACGCTCGCCTGGCCTCAGGTCAGGCCACTCCCCACTCTTCCCTTTCAAGAAGGACACTTGGAGGGGCCGCGGATGTGCGGGAGCCGGGCAGGCGGCTGGCTCACAGCAGGACCGGTAAAGGCTGAGGTTTGGGAGGCGGGGCCTCTCCTGGGGCTGTGGGTGCAGCGACCTGCAGGGTCCCTTCAGGTCTTCTTGATCCCTGCCCGGCCTGAGTGGGAGAGCGAGGGCCGGCTCTGAGGGCCCCTGTGCCGGGAAGTTCTGGAAGGTTCTTCCTCCTTCCAGGCCACAGCCTCATGATGATTTTTCTCTGAAGAGGGGCCTGGCCCACGGCAGYGAGGTGAAGGCAAGGCCATTTGTGTCCACCCGCGGGGGCAAAGGCGTGGACAGCCCCTGCACCAGGAGTCCCGGGTTCTCAGGCCCACGTGGAGGCTGGGCAGGGGCTGGTCCGGCCCTCCGGGCGGCCCCTGGCCTGGCCACCTGCAGCTGTGGCCCCTTCCCACGTGGCCTGGTGCAAGCCTGACCCGGCCCCCGTGTCCTTCGGCTGTGCTGGAGGGTGGTTTTATTTTGGAATAGCTGAATCCTCTGATCCTTTGTGTGCCGCTATGTTATTGTCTTTTTAATTGTTCGAAGGACGTTTCCTTTGGATTTCTGGATATTAAATAAAAGCCACTAAAGCCCTGGCTGTGCTTTGATCAGACCCACCTGGCTGACAGCAGGAAGCCATGCAGCTTGCGACATGAAGGCCCAGCGCCTCCGAGCGGGAGCGGCGGCTGGGGAAGTGCCCGACCGCCTCAGCGCGCTGTTATTTATTCCAATAAAGGGCCGCTGGGCCGCCCGTGCTCTTTTGGCTGCTATTTTTCTCTCCCGTGCATTTAGCAGTTGCTGCCCGGCTGCCCAGTGCAGGGCACACGTGACCCACAGCCACGCCTGCATGGCCCTCTGGCCAGAACTGGGCCACTGCTGGCCCTGGGCACGGGCTGGATAAATTGGCCACTGCGGTGGAGGGGACAGGAAGTCACGAAGCCTCGTGTGCTAACTAGTGAGTGACCACCCTTGACTCTGGGGCAGGGACCCAGGTAACCGGCAGTGGTGGCCTAAACTTGGTGGTCACCAGCCCCACCTCCAACCCTCCTGGGCAGATGTCCTGGGACTCCGCAGGAGCCTGGGACTGCTACAGCTGTGGCCAGCCCTGGGCGGGCAGCAGGATGGCCAGGTAGCAGCGCTGTTCAAGAAGCAGAAAATGACGGACGGTGGCTGTGAGGGCCTGGTCCGAGATGCACACGGGGTGGAGTCCGGGTCTATCCCTGGGTGGCCGCCRGTAGGTCAGCCCACCCGGGCCTTCCAGCACAGGGCTCCCACCCTCAAAACCAGCCGTCCCACCTGTTCTCCCTCTAGCAGGGTCTGGGGACAGTGCTGGTCGTCACAGCTGCTGGCCTGCCATGGTGAGGCCAGCAAAGAGCCATCCTGCCCAGATGCCCGTGCTGCTGCGGCTTGGAGGCCCTGGGCCAGCCTGTGTCCACTGCCTCTGTGGGGGGGTTCCCTGTTAATATGGAGGAGGACGGAACCGTTCCCCTTCCGTGCTGGTTCTTTGAGGCCAGCAGTGGCGAGCGGCTCTCCAGAGAGCTTGCTGGCCCTGTTCAGTGGGCATTTTGCTCAGGGTCTGGTTCGTGCAGACCTTGCCCCTGGCCTGAGCCCTGCAGCCTGGGGCGCGTCGGCAACTCAGGTGAGCCACAGTGACGAAGGACACCGCAGGGAGTCCAAGGAGGCCAGCCCAGGAGCCCAGGGCTCCGGGCCGGCTCCAGACCTGCGCTGAGCCTTTCTCTTAAAAGTTGTTCTGTCGAGTTCTGGGTGGAACCTTGCTCTCAGGGCCCTTAGGAGCCCCCAGTCCAGCCGTCCTCTCGCTGTGGGAGGGTCTTTGCAGGAGCCCAGTGAGCAGGCCTCAGAGTGGACGGGAGGCAGAGACCTCAGAGTGGAGAGGAGGCTCAGCACTATGGCTGGTCCCACCTCGGCCGCTGCAGGGTGGGCACTCGATGCTCTTCAGGGCCCTGGACGTGCGGGGAAGCTCGGCTCTAAGTGGAAACTCCGTCCTTGGAGTTTTAATTGATCCCATGAGTTGTCACTGCTGGGGGGCAGGCTCTCCCCGGGCCACAGGGCGGGGACCCGGAGCCTCACCCGTCAGGACCCCAGCACTCGCAGGGTCTTGACCAAGTGCCTGCTTCATGCCAGGTCCCATGCGAGGTGCCCAGGGGTGCAGCAGGGGACAGGCCTGGAGACTCTGGACACAGGAGGGGAGGACAAGCAGGGTGCCTGCYGGTGGAGTGGAGCCGATGGCTCTGGGATGGGCGAGTGAGAGGCCTGAGGGCAGAGCCGGGCACCAGGTCGCCTCCAAGGCCCGCGTCACTTTCAAGGCCACATGGCCTTTGCTGATCCGGTGATCTGCTGGACTGGCTCCAGATTCTCTTCCCCACACCAACTTTTTAAAACGAATCGACCAGTGAACAGGAGGCCAGCCCCTGGGAGGAAGGCCGGGTCACCCAGGGGCAGGCTCCAGGGCAGGCTCTGGTGGCTGTGACGCCATGACAGTGGCGGTGTGGTGAGGGACAGTGTGTGACGGCGAGCCGAGCACATCCCTGCGTCCCAATGACAGGGGTGAGAATAAGGACTTTTTTCTCTTAACGTTTTATTTTTATTTATTTAATTTTTAGAAAGTTTGATGGGGGGATACTGGAGGTTGAACCCAGGGGTGCTCCGACACTGAGCCACGTCCCCAGCCCCTTTTATTTTTTTTAAGTAATTTTTTAGTTGTTGATGGACCTGTATTTCATTTGCTTATTGTTATGTGGTGCTGGGCATTGAACCCAGGGCCTCACACGTACGAGGCAAGCGCTCTACGGCTGAGCTACAACTCCCAGCCTTTTTAAAATTTTTAAATTTGGAGACAGGGTCTCACTAAGTTGCTGAGTCTAGCCTTGAATTTAGGATCCTCCTGCCTCAGCCTCTCAAGCAGCTGGGATCCCACCTGGCCTTCATGGCTTATTTTTATACAGTATCCAAGGAGAGCTGGAGGCAGAGACCAGGGGTGGTTACCTAGAGCCTGTGAATGTTGCCATCGCTCCACGCTGGGCTTCACCCTCTTTTCTTTGTATCTCTGTGGCCCTCTCTTCTTGAAATAATAACYGTGTGTGTCTTTCCATGCACGTTGCCTTGTTTACCCGAGTGCGCCATCTCCCCACGTTATTCAGAGTGTTACACACGCAACTCCCTCTGCGCCTGGGTCTGTTTCCTAGCAGCACTCTCACGTGACACGGCACAGGTGTCCTGATCAGCAGACGACGCAGATGGGGCAGCGTTAGCTAACTGCCACCTGGGCTGTATTCAGGCGTCTCCATCACGTCCTTCATCCCCACCACAGGGACGGGACGTGCATTGCCATCGGACCTCGGGCTGTTGGAGGCTTCATGCACTTTGGGGCCGAGGTGTTCTCAGCGCATCACTGGGGGACACGCCGTGTTGCTTTGTCCTTTAGGAGGTTCATTTCGATGAYTTTGTTAAGGTAGGGTCATCAGTTTGTACTTGGACTATATACACCTCTTTTTGATGGACAAGTACTTATGGGGAAAGAGTTTTCGGCTATGGAGTTAACGTTTCCTCCAGAAATAACCAGAAAACTCAACTCAAGACAGGAAGCCGTGGTTTGAGGCATTAGATGAGAAGCAGACCAGGGAGCCAGGTGACCCGGGTCCTGCACAGTCCAGCTCTCCACATAAAACCGTGCTATCCAGCCTTCAATAAAAACGCCTAGACGTGTAGGGACCAAGAAACAACRACACGAGGGTGACTTAGAGCCAGCGGGGGAATAGTCAATAAAAGGAACCAAAGAGTGACAGATGGTGGGTTCCACAGCCCACTGACCAGGACGCTTTAAAAGTGTGAATGTCTTGAAAGACTGTTCTATATCCAAGGGCTCTACAAGTCACGAGTCACCAAGGCAATCACAGCAGCATGTGGCCTCTGATTGGACCCTTGAGTAATAAACACACGTGCACATGTGTGCACAAACATGCGTGCACACACACACACACACACACACACACACACGGTGATCAAAGGCATTTTGAGCACTTGGCAAATCTATATATGAGTGAAATGTTAAGAGAACATGTAATGGTAGATTTCTTGGGTGTCTTAATGTGCAGTGTCGTGTAGGAGAGGGTCCTTGTTCTCAGGGGCGAGTGAGAAGACCTCTGTAATTTATTTACTTCAACACATTTTAGTTGTGGGAAAAACCCACAACATAAAAGCTGCCATTTCTTCCACCTTTCCATGTGCCGCGYGGTGGGGTAGGGGCAGGCTGGCTCTCTCACACCCCACCTCCCGACTCTGCATCCGGCAAAACAGGAACTGAGTTGTGGCGGGCCCCAGCTGTGCCCCAGCTCACAGGAATCACCAGGGGCTGGAGGCCCCCTCAGCCCCTGGTCTGCCTCTCATGTTTGCAGCTGGGTCACCAGGACCAGGTGGAGGACTCTGGGCACTTCTCCAGAGCTGGGTCCACTGGGCAGCCCCGCAGGTTACTCTGAGCAAGGGCTGGAGGGTCCCGGGTGAGCTGCCTTTGAGATCCGAAGGGTCTCCCCATCAAGCGCTGAGCCTCTCCTTTGGGTGGTGTGGGGGTCAACCCCAGGCCCTGTGCACGCTAGGCAGCCACTGTGCCCGGGCCACACCCAGCCCCACACCTTTGCTGGTTGTCAGAGATGCAAGGGGAGGCCCCTGAAACTTCACTGGGGAGGGCTCAGCCCTGTGGCCAGACAAGTAGGTCCCCAGAGAGTTCCCAGGTGGCTAGATTAGCATGTCCCCACAAGGCATCCAGAACAGTGCCTCCCACTCTGTCACCTCATGGAACATGTGCAGAGTGACAGAGTCTGCATGGCATACTGATGGACAGATGAAGTGGCTCTGGGCTGTGGATGAGTAGCCAGCCCCGGGGCCGGGGGAGCCCCACGCTGAGACCCCTGCACACGGGTGGCTGGCTGGCTGGCGTCAGCTGACGACAGGTGGCCCCAGGAGGGCTGACGCGGTCTCTCCACACTGAGATCTCGGCGCCTGCTCTCCCTGCCGACTCCGCTCTCCTGTGTGTACTTTGATGGAGCAAAATGTGCTGGTGAAGCCAGAATTAAGGCCAGGCAGTCGGTGTCGACGGTGATCAGGTGATCCGGTGTAGACAGGGGAGATGAAAGCTGATTTGGCCTGGGAGGATGGAGCCGGCCTCTGGGAACGCTACTGCCTCAGAGCCCTTCCCCCACCCGTTACCAAGGTTACCTGCCTGTTCTGTTCCTCCCAAAGGTGTTCAGGAAGCACCTCCTGGGCTCCCTTCCTGCTGCAATCAGCCCACCACTGGCCCTTCCCATGGCTCATTTGCTTCCCACCTTTCAGCGAGTCCCTAGGAGGGTTCACGCAGGGTGGGGAGAGGTCAGGGAGAAGAGGGCGGGAGGACAAAGAGAACCTAAGACTAATAAAGGCACAGGACACGCCCACTTCTTTGGATACCAACTCTGGGTCCCCTTCCCTTCGGAGAAGTCTGTGTCACTATCTTTAAATAAAACTTGCTGTCTTTGCTTGCCCCAGCGCTTCTCTTCTGATGTTCAAATTCAACACCTGCAGAAACGGAACTCGGCATCACCATCACGGGAATCGCTCGCTAGCTAAGCRCTGCACACAGGGCCCAGGGCTGCTGTGGATGGGCTGTGCTGACTGTGTCTGTAGGTGACTGTGTCCTGGCTTTACTACTTGATAGGGACAGGGAGCTCAGGGCACACCCTGTAGGAGACAGCCAAACCTCGGCAAGGTACTCAGCCAGTGAGGATCTGGGGGGGACCTTGTGCCCCAGGACATAGTCGCTGCCCTGGGCATGCCTGCTCCCCAGATGCCCCATCTTGCAAGATCATCAGTAAAAGCCTGGCTCTGGTCACACCTCCTGCCTCCCAGTCGTCCCCTGGGTGTGGTCAGCCACTGCCCCTGGGCCTCTGCATTTTGGAATGACCCCAACCCCCTGAGCTCAGGGAGCCCAGGCACGTCTCACAACGCCCGCCATTTCTAAGCTGCAGAGACAGTCACCGCGGCACTTCCCAGGGCGACCTCTGGACCCTCCTCCAGGAATCGCACTGTCCTGTCATTCAGCACTGAGGCTGAGCCCACTTTCAGCCACCAACTGTCAAACAGTGGAGCCCCTGGTGGCTCCTGCCAGCGCCCAGTCCCTCCTGCGAGCGTGCTGCGGCAGTGGCTCTTTCAACGCCCGCTCCCCACCCTCCTGAAACCCAGTCCCGTACCTTTCCCACCTCCTCTGCTGACATAAATCAGCAAACGTTGGCCATTTTTTAAAAAGCACTCTACTTTCAGGCGTGGCCTGTTGCTGGTCCACCCAGGACCGTGTGAACTGACGGCAGGAATCCACACGTCCGAGGCTGTGGGAGTGATAGGGTGGGGGAGGGGAGGAAGGGACCTCTCCAGGCTGGGGGCACTGGGGGGCATCGCGGTGGCTCTCCCCCAGGGAAGGGCTGCTTCTGCTGAGAAGAGTCCCCTGAGCTCCAGCCTGGCTTCTCGCAGCCGCTGTTCTGACTTCCCAAGGCCCCTTCTTTCCTTCTGCCCTTCACACCGAAGGCTCTTCGGCTGCGGGTTTAGCAGCGTCCTAATTCCACATCACACAGGATTAGATCCCACGTCTGATTCTCAGCTCCGTCCTCCGTCCTCCCGGCCGCTCCAAGAGATAAGCGCTCCTTCTGAGCCATCATAAAAGTCCCTGGTGCTCTGAACATGCCCCGCTGCACTGAGAATTTAAAGCCCGGGAACGGCTCTTTCTTGTGTTAAACCTTTGGTTTACAATCAAAAGCCAGCTCGCCCTCTGTCCTCCAACTCCTGTCCTCCCCTTGGAAGCCACAGCTCCCCTGCGCAGCCAGGATCTCGCCGCCGCTCAGTGCCCAGGGGTCACAGGGGAGCGTGTTGGCCTCCAAGGGCCGCCATCTGCAGAGCTCCTCTCTCCGTAACTGGAGGGCACAGGGCCTGCTGCTGCGTCTGGTGACCTGTCCTGTCTCAGCTGGATTCCTGCCCACCATGGAGTAGCTGACCCTGGTGGAGGAGTTTCTGAAATGGCCTTCCTGGGCCCTGGGACTGGGCCCCACACACGGTTGAGCTGGGGCTCCGCCTTCCCACCTTCTTCACTGGCTCAGGGTCCCCCCACCCAGGCCCTTCAGTTCCTGCATTTGAAAGCAGGTGGGTGAAGCCCTCTGCTGCGCTGGTGGGGCCGGGATCCAGGTTCGGAAGCTGCCACCAGGACCATGGGACCCGGAGCCAGGCTGAGCCTTCTCCCAACCCCCGTGACCCAGGTCCCAATGGGGCTTTCTCTCTCCCTGGGTCCTTGTGAGCCCCAGTCCTGCAGGGGACCTGGGAATGGCACAGGCTGTTGGGGAGCCCTGGTTTCTTCCTTGGTGTGGGCTGATGGTGGGCCCTGCTCCTCGGCAGGTTCCGGGCACTCAGCGCGCTCACCACGGCGTGGGTCTTCTCATCGGCAGTCGGGGGAAAGCGCGGGGATCCCGCGTGTCATCACCCGCATGCCCACCTCCCTGCCCTCGGCTCTGCCCTGCTCTTCCGCCTGCCTGATCCGGCCACTTCTCTGATCTCTTGGCAAAGACAGGGTGGCTTGTCTCCTGGTCCCCAGCATGGCTGCCTGTCACTGTGGAAACTCACAGTCCATCTGGTCATGAAGATTTAAGCTCAGAAACAGCCCAGGTCTCAGGTGTTCTCCGACAAACCCGCTGTGCGGGGGTCTCTCCCGAACCCCCGAGGCTCTGTGTGTGCTGCTTCCGGGGTCCCTCCCGGGTCTCTAACCAGCAGACTCCTGTTCAGCCACGGAGGCCCTGTCCCCTCTAGGAAGTTGCCTCATCCCCTCAGCAATAACAGTCACCAATTTACCCCTTGAGCCCACCTTGGGTGTGGGTTGTTCTGGGCTGTGGCACAATGGGCAAAAGAGAGCCGCCCTGCCTTGCAGAGCCCCCAGGTGGAGACCTGTCTCAAACACCAGCCTGCGGCCCCCGCTGAGCCATGGTGTGGTCACAGGCCAAGTGCTGGGAGAGTGGGGCTTCAGGGCCCTGTAAGAATCCCAGGCAGGACCTGCCTGAGAGGGCAGGAGGCTTCCTGGAGGAGGGGCACCGAGGTCCAAGTGCAGAGCCGGGCAGGGCTTGTAGCAGGGAAGAGTCAGAGCTGCCAAGCAGGGCACTGAGGGAACAGGAGGGGGTCAGCAGGGCTAAGGGGGGAGGGCAGGGAGGTCAGCAGAGGTCAGGGGAGAGGATGGAGCTGTGGCCAGCAGGACTGGAGGAGCCTGGGACTTGCAGGTGCAGGGGAGGGGAGGAGGCCTGGGGTCAGAGGTGGAGCAGAGGGACAGTCTGCTGGTGGCTGGGGTGTGGGATGCCGACCCCAGGTCCTGGCCTCAAAAGCTGCCCCTGGGAGGTGGGGAGAGGGGAGGGAGCGGCTTGGCTGGGGCGGAGGAGGGGAGGAAGTCGGCCATGCCCCCTTGGAGGTGCCTGGGAGGCCGGGGCTGGGAGCCAGGCTGTGGTGGGGCCGGGCTCCCGTGGGCTCCTGCAGCCTGGTCCTCCCAGCGCCCTCCTGGCCCGCAGCACAGAGGAGGAAGCTCCCCGCGGCCACCGCCACCAGCAGAACAGGCCCCAGAGGAAGTGCGCAGGCCCCTGCCGCCCCCGCAGGGCCCAGGCTACCCACCCGCCCAGGAAGCGGAACCTGCCTCTCCCAGGAGCAGAGGACCCTGGGGAGACCTGATCTCCCGGGTACAGGAGGCGCTAGGTGAGTCCCTGCATCTGGGCCTGGGGAAGGCCTCGGCCGCGGGAGCCCCTGCCTGTCCACGTGCCTGGGAGCCCGATCAGGGCCACCAGGGAAGGAGCCCCCTGGCTGAGGCTGCCGGGGCTGGAGGCCAGAGTCAACACCGAGGCCCTCACCCCATGGCGCCTAGGGGCTGCCTCACCCCCTCCCCATCTCACGGAGGACCTGCTGAGGCTCCAGGGACCCTGCTGTGCCTCTCCCTGTACCAGGGAGACGTTCCCGGACCCCTGGCCTCTCTGAGCTTCGTGCAGTCCTGGGGGACAAAGGCGACCCCCCTTCTGGGAAGCCACTGAGGCTGGGGCAGAAGAGAGCCTTGCCCAGGGCTGCTGGTCACTAGAGACCGTCCACGTCTGTGTCCCCTCAGCCACCTCGGTCCAGCATTGAGTCCAGCCCCTCCTGGTCATGAATGAGGACCAGAGAGGAGAGGGGACTTGCCTGGAGTCACACAGCCGGCGTGAGGAGGAGCCTGCCTGGAACCCGGGCCTCCGAGCCCAGGCCAGGGCTTTTTCCCCTCTTGCAGCTGTGGCCCAGGCTGCATCTGAGTGTCCCCTGGACATGGGAATTGTGGGGCCAGTGTAGTGCCCCCTGCCCCACTTCAGAGCAGGGCCACTGTGCGCCCAAAGAGGGGGGCTCCAGGGCCCTCCAGTCCCCTACCTCCCCGGGGCGCGGGGGGGCTCCCTGCCTGGACCCCTGTGGGTGCCCTGCCACCCGGCTGTCTGAGAGAGTCTGGAAAGGGGGGGAGCAGGGGCTGGAGGCGGGGGAGGCTGCTGGCCCTCAGCGACTGGAACCAGAGACAGGAAGAGGGTTGGGGAACCGGAAGGGCCCATAGCAGTGACAACAAGGAGCCTGGCCCTCCCTGTAGAGCAGCTGGCCCTGAGACCTCACTCCCTGAGAGGCCCGGGTGCTGGGGAGAGTCCTGCCGGTCCCCCAAGCTGCAGGTGGGGACGGCCTGGGGGCTTGGGCTCGGTGCTCGGCCCCCCCTCCAGCCCTCTCTGCTCAGCCTTGGGCCCAGAGGCCCCGTTGGCATGTTCCACCGCAGGAGCTAACATCTGGGACGTCAGTGCCATCTGCCAGCCCACACGCAGGCCGGCTCCCTGCTGGGCCGGGGGTGGGGTTCTGAGCTCTGAGGAACTGGCTGAGCTGGCTCTGCCGGCTGCTGGGGAGGGGGAGCCCACAGGGCCCTGCAGGCCTCGGGGGGCTGCTCGGCACCCACAGTGGGGGCACGGCGAGGACCCGCCCCACAAGCCTTTCTTGGTGTGTCCTCGATCCTGTGCTTAGGCCTCCTGCCCACCGGGACCCCGTCCCTTCACCTGGGCCCTCATGGTGACCTGTCCACCTGGAGCTGAACTCCACGCCCCCGCCCCCAGCCTCCTGGGTGGGAGGAAATGATAGATAAGCACAGAGTGAGTTGAGGGCTCTGGGACTTGACACCCTCTGTCCCCTGCGTCCTCCAGGGCAGGCCAGAGAGAAGATGGAGCCAGAGTCCCTGTACAACCTGCTGCAGCTCCCCAGCGAGGCGGCCCTGCCCACCGAGGAGCAGCTCCCGCCAGGTGCGCCCCAGTGGCTGGGGGCCGGGGCTGGGGCCGAGGGTGAGGGTCCGTGTCATGAGGGACGGCTCCCAGGCTGCTCGCCCTGCCTCTGCCTCACTTCGGCTGGACCCAGCTCTGCTTCTGGAACCTTCCACAGCCCCCTGCACCCACCGCATGGCCTCCTGTGCTGCGAAAGCTGGCGCCAGCCCAACGGGCACAGCTGGCGCTGAGGGCTCCTGCCCAGATCTCTGTTCCCAAGAGTGGGTGCCATTGCCACCTTTTACAGAAGAGGACCCTGAGGCATGGGGAGCCATGTCCTGTAGCTCGGCTAGTGAGGATGGAGCTGGCCCCCAGCCAAGGAGGGGCCGCAGGGCCCAGGGTCCACCCTCCACACCGTGCTGCCTCCCCAGGGTCCCGTGGCCTGGAGGGTGAGGGGCTGTAGGTCTGCCCCTGCACACAGTGGGTCTCTTCCCAAGGTGGGTGGGCACAGGACCGAGCAATCCCATCCTCGGGGGTGAGCATGGCCCCTGGAGTCTCCCTCCTAGAAGTCGCCCCCAACAGCACGCTGCAGGCACACAGCGCTGCGCACGCCCGTGTGCCCAAACAGAAAGTCCCACACCTCCACGCGCCAGGCGGCAGGCCTGGCCTGGGGGAAGGGCCCTCGGTGAGCCCAGGACAGAGCCAGTCCCCACAGCAGAAGCACTGGGCAAGGCCAGGCCAGGAGAGCGGGGACCCCAGGAGAAGCCAGCTGAGCGCTGACCCTGTGAACACAGCCTGGCCACGTGGGTGCCACGGGGAGAGAACCCCCCGGCCAAGAGGGTCCCAGGGGGTGGGCGGGCCAGGCCCGAGGAAGGACGGCTCTGTTCCCAGTCAGCTGGTCAGCTTCCTGTCTGTCTGCTGTCCCTCCTGGTTTATGAGCCCCGGAGCCTGGAAACCATCACAAGGAAGACGGCTGAGCTGGGGTGGCAGGGCTTGGTAACTTGAAATAAATATTTACTTTCTGTTTTACAGTTGACTTAGAGACACCTACAGCTCCACAACACAGAGCCAGGACTCGAGATGATTAGGAGTCCTGGGAACCCGCTCCAAGAGGGCGGTCCCACATCCACCCATCACCCATCCACCCACCCACTCAACCCTTCACCCACCCATCCATCCACCTACCCATCCACCCATCTACCCAATCACCCATTCATCACCCATCTACCCACACATCACCCATCCACCCACCCACTCATCCATGCACCTACCCACCCACCCACCCACCCATCCATCCACCCACCCACCATCTATCTATCCATCCACCCACACATTCATACATCACCCATCTAACCATCCATCACCTCTCTACCCATCCACCCACCACCCACCCACCCACCGACCCACCACCCATCCATCTTTCCTTCCTTCCTTCCTTCTACTCACCCACCCACCCATTCCCTCCTTACTCACCCAGGAGCTCCTCGGGGCTGGGAAGTGTGGGAGGTTTGGGGGTTTCTAGCCAGTCCCCGGGGGAAGGCTGCGCTGTGAGCTCAGGCGCGGCGGCCGTGGGCTGACTCCGTGTCCCCCACATGTTGGGGCCAGCTGACCTTGGAGGTCCGCAGGCCTCACATCTTGTGGGCCCTGGGGTCTAAAATGCGGGGGAGCCTCGGGGCCTCAGAGGGCGTGGGCTGGCCTCAGTGCCCGGCGCAGCAGGGCAGCCAGGGCAGTGTCCACCGCGGCCCTCGGAGCTGGTGAGGCCGCGGGTGAGCTGAAGTTTCACCAGAGTGAAGGGCAGGGCTGCCAGAGGAGGCGCAGGACACCCAGTTCCGTTTGAATTTCACGGAAACAAGCAATAAACCCTGAACTGAGGCAGGACCCCAAACACAAAGCTCACCGCCTCCGGGGTCGAGCTGGTGCTCTCGGGGGACCTGGGCAGAGGGCGCTCGAGGTGAGGCCCAGGCCCCAGCTCTGCGGTGACCTTCAGGGAGACCGCGGCCGAGCTTCCTCTGGGCCCCACACGTGCATCATGCCCACCTCTGTTTCCAGGAGCCAAGAAGAAATACCTGCCCCCCAGTTCCCGGAAGGACCCCAAGTTTGAAGAACTGCAAAAGGTAGGGCAGCCCTCAGCACCGACGCTCTGGGGTCTGTCCCCTGCCTGGCACTTGCCTCCACCTGGAGGACAGCGGGCTGCCCTCTCCCTTCCTTGGCCTCTGACTGTCGGGGGGACCCGTAGGCCCTGGAGACCTGCTGAAGGCCGAGCGCCAACCTGTGCCTGGCACACCCCATCCACCTCATGACTATCGATGGGGACTTCTGTCACCTGTGTCCCAGGGAGAGGTAGCAGACTGTGTGGGCCACCCAGCACGCCGTGACCTAGTGAGGGTCTGATTCAGGCCCTCAGCCTGGGTCCTGTTTCCCACTCGGCCACCCAGGGCTGAGGGGAGCTGGTGGCCGGTGGGTGTGGGCCTGGGCCACCTGTTCTCGTTCTCGGCTGGGCCATGGGTCCTCTGCTGGCCCGGGCCTCCACCTCTGCGCCCTGCGGCTCTGTGGACCTTCCCCCTCTCTCCTCCACCCCTTCCCACCCACCACCGCGCACAGCCCCGCTGGCCCTGAGTCCGAGAGAAGAGCCCCCCTGGCCAACAGCCTTCTGGGTTTGGGTCCCCAGAAGCTGGTCGTGAGCTGTGGATTTGGGTTGGGGGTCATCCCAGGTGTGGAAGGAAGGGGCCAGCGCAGAGAGGGACGGATGGTCATGGCCACAGGGACTCGAGCCTGTGTCCCAAGAGTCAGCTCAGTGCAGAGGCCTCAGTGTCCCACCCGGTGCCTCGTGTCATCCGCCTGCTGTGACCTGTCCCCGCAGGGTTGGGCCTCCAGGGACAGCCCCAGGCAGAGCTGTGGGGGCAGCTGGCCAGTGTCACCTCCATGGTGAAGCTTGGGGTGGGGTTGGAGGAGGACACCAGCAGCCCTGTGCCCGCCCTGTGCCAGCCGTAACATGTCACCCCCAACCAGGTGGCCTAGAGCGGGGGGAACGCCACCCCTGGGAGTTCTGGAGGCTGGAAGTCCCACCTGGAGTCTGGCAGGAGTCTGGGGCCTGAGGGGACAGCCCGGGCCTGTGTCAGGATGCAGGCCCTCCCTGGCGGTGGAGTGGGCTCCAGTCAGTGCACACCCCCCTTCCCAGAACCACCCGAGACCCCACCCCCGCTCCACAGGCATGTCCCCATCCGCCCACAGGTGACTGTCACTGTCACTCGTGAGGATGCCCTCGGTGCTCTCGGGTGGAGGAGAGACCCGGGGGTCTGTGGAGCCCAGAGTGACCCTGGCGTGTGGGGTCAGGGGGCTGCAGAGGAGGTGACTGGGCCAGACCTTGAAGGGTGGCCCAGTGGCAGGTGGGGGGAGCCACCCAGGCTGCGGTGGCGGCCAGCGGGTGACCCAGGCGTCCCCTGCCCTCAGGTGCTGGTGGAGTGGATCAACGCCGCCCTCCTCCCCGAGCACGTGGTGGTGCGCAGCCTGGAGGAGGACATGTTCGACGGGCTCATCCTGCACCACCTGTTCCGTGAGTGCTCCCCAGCCAGCGGGCCACACACTGTCCCTCCCCCACACAGTCCCTCCCCCACACCGCCCCTCCCCCACACCGCCCCTCCCCCACACCGTCCCTTCCCCGACACCGTCCCCACGGTGGCCTCCAGGGAAGGAGCTCCAGGGCCCTGCCTAGAAGGGCCCCAGCTGGGAGGAGGAGGCCTGCCCCCAGGGCAGCCCCCCAGGGCAGCCCACCAGGGGACCGGGGCCTCCTGGCCGAGCTCCCTCGGCACCACCGGCCTGGCCAGCATTTACTGAGCACCAGCTGGTTTTAGGGGCCGGGAGCTGATGAGGAAGCCCACCGCGCCGGCCCTCGGGCTGCCCTGAGGGCTGGAGAGAGGACAGGTCGCCCTGGGAGAGGTGCTCAGCTGTCGGAGGGGTGCCGATGTCAGGGCCATCTCCCTAGGCTCCCAGGGGCCTGGGGACTGGTCCAAAGCCTTGCAGTTAGACGAGCAGTGTGTGGGGCAGGGTCAGGGACGAGCCTCCAGYGTAGGCTTTAACCATCAGGCCACACTGCCCTGCAGACATGAAGCGTCTGCTGTGGGAGGCTGGGGGCCAGCGCCCGGGTGGGGTGGGCAGCAGGCTGGGAGGGCTGTGCTCTGCTCATGCCACGTGGCCCCTTCAGACGGTGGCCCATGTGGACAGGGGCTGAGGAGCACAGCCTGCGGAGGCTCTGGGGTGGTCCAGGGCTCTGCGCCCCCAGGGTGCCCAGCTCAGCCATGGCCCTGCCACCGTCCCGGCCCTCACCACCCTCTCCTGCCACAGAGAAGCTGGCGGGACTCCGGCTGCAGGTGGAGGAGATCGCCCTGACGGCCGCGAGTCAGAGGCGCAAGCTGGAGSTGGTCCTGGGGGCCGTGAACCGGGCTCTGCAGGTGGAGGAGCCGCAGGCCAAGTGGAGCGTGGAGGGTGAGCAGGGCCCAGCCAGGCCTGGGCGCGGGAGGGCAGGGCAGCCTGGTGCCCTCTGCCCGGAGACTTGGCATCTACCCAGAGGCCGCGCAGCCTCCTGCCCAGGCTGGGAGGGAGCAGAGGCCTGGAGCAGCCTGGGCAGCGGGCACCGAGGGTCCCCGGAGGAGGAGGGGCAGGCCAGAGCCCCAGGGGCGTCACTGCCCCAGAAGCCCAAGGTCGAGTCTCGGGGACAGTGACACAGCAGCAGAGTCCAGGGGCCCCGCCACCTGGCCTCACCATCATAGATTTATTTAAGCTCCACCCGCACAGCCTCCCTCGTCCCCTGGGCCCCGGGTTCTCCTTCCTGAGGCCAGGGGGAGTCCGGCGGCCTCTCCGGGGTTGGGTGGTGACAACATGACTCACCTGGACCCAGGCCTGCACTCACCACAGGGTCTGGAGTCTCACTCCCCGTGACCGACATTTACAATGTTGTCAGTCGGCCTAAATCTGAGGGTGACTGTCCCAGGAGGCCTGGCCGTGGGCAGTCGCTGTTTTCAAGGAAGACACCAGTGAGCCACCGCCCCAGGCCCCGGCCTCAGGGTGCCGTCACTGCTGAAGTGGGTGCTGGGAGCTTGGGACTATTCTAGGTTCTGAATGTGCACCTCCCATCTCTCTCAGGCCAGCGGGTGGCTGTGTCACCCTGGACCCTTGGGGTGCACGGTGGGTGGGGTTGGTGCTCCTTGGGCTGTGACAACTGGCAGAATCCAAAGAGTCACTCTGTGAAGCCCCCAACAAAAACTTAAAAAGAACTGGAAGCTCAGAGGTGGCAGTGTCCTGGGCACACACTGCCCACGGCAGCTGGCCCAGGCTCCTCGATCTGCCACGGGCCCTGGTGGCCAGGAAGCGTCCGTGAGGCTGCAGGCTCTGGTGGCCCTCAGCATGACCCACACTCCTCTCCCCCAGCCATCTTCAACAAGGACCTGGTGGCCACCTTGCACCTGCTCGTGGCCCTGGCCAAGCACTTCCAACCCAGCCTGCCCCTCCCAAGCAATGTCCAGGTGGAGGTGGTCACCATCGAGGTAACTGGCCCTGGCCCAGGCATTCGGACACAGGACGGAGCACCTTGATGCTCACGGCACCCTGAGCTGGGTGCTGCCTGAGGCGGGGTGGGCTGGGCTGGGTTCCAGGGTGTTGGGAGAAATCTCACATCTCACCGGACAGCAGGCAGGTGCCAGCTGCAGAGGTGGGCTGGGCAGGAGGAGGGCCCTGGGCTGGCCAGTCTGGTCCATCTTAGCAGATGGTTCCTGCCCAGAGGCTGAGGCCAGCAGCTGTCTGGAAGATCCAGCTGATGGCCACTGACAGCACATGGGACATTGGCGCCGTCACATCCCGGAGGCAGGGTGCTGCCCTGGTGACGCCTCTCATGGGCCAGTCCTGGCCGTGCCCACGCCCCCTCTCCTCGGGGAAGGTCTCCTCTCGCCACCCACTCCAGCTGGGCCGGGTGCCTTCCAGGGTCCGTGGCTTCTGTCCCCAGCAGGCTCTGAGCACCCCATGATTCCTGCCCCCACCGGGGCCCCGGGTGAGCAGGGCCTGCCTTTGTGGCCCTGCAACAGGACGACCATGGACGGGCCCCTTCACCATCCATGGCCCCTGAGACGGGGAATCTCAGGGAATGGGCAGTGCCAGTCCCCAGCCTCCTGGGCTCAGGGCCCATGGGGAAGGACAGTTCCACTGGGCCCCGAGGGAGGGCTGCTCAGGAGCCACCCTGAGAGGGGGCCAGGCGAGCCAGCTGGGTCCCCAGGGCTGCGTGGGCCGAGCCCAGAGTTCCCTGGGGTCTCTCCACTCTTCCTTTCTCCCCTAGAGCACCAAGAGTGGCCTGAAGTCAGGGAAGTCCCTGGAGCAGCTCACCAC